AGTACCTAATTTCCAAAATGAAATTTGGCTCTTTATTTATCTCATTTCTTAATTTTTAGATTGTAAGTTAAGATCTAAATGTTTTTCTTTTATGAAGCTCGTAAGAAAACATGCATTTTTATTGTATATCTCACAATGGAAATCACAGCTAAAGTGCTTAAAATTATACAGGTGCGTTTTATAAGTGCGTTGATATTTTATAATATATATTTGTAATAGTTTAAAGCTTTTTCTCTAACAAGAGGCAGAGGAGATTCACTAGGACTGTCTTAAAAGGAGTTTTCAAGAGCACCACTCTATTATAAATGTACATAATTATACAGTGTGTTTCATAGATAATTGTAATTTAGCTATGAAATAAGCTGTATAAACCATAAAGTAATATTAAAAAAAAAATAACTAAATACAGTAATAATTAAAATATTTTTCTATTCATTTTTATAGACGTATCTGTTTTTAACGTTAATAATTCGATTTTTTTTTGTAAAGTTAGGGCATTTTGTTATTTTTTTCTTTCTAATAGTTTTCATCTTTATTCAATTATTGTTACACCAAAATTATTGTATATTTAATGATTTATAACAAAAACTATTAAAAAAAATTAACAACGAAATAAAAAATGTACTTAGGTACCGTGTATGTACATTTTTTTTAAATTATTTATATATTCGATGTTAAATTCGTCTCATATTTAAATCTTTGAATATTTTTTGTACAGAAATCGTACAATGTATTCGAGTTTGTCAATTAGAGTTAGAGGACGGATTTTTTAAAAAATGGTGATTCTAACGAATAATAAATATATATTGGATTGGAGCCCTATCTGTCTTTTTTAGGTACACAAATTTACCGAAGTAATTTTGATAATCTATTGTAAAATAATAATAAATATATAATTTTTCTTTAACATTTCCTGGACTATAATGGTTTAAAGAATATTTATTATAGGTCAGTGAAATAAACAAATTTTTTCTGATTTTCGCTTGCAATTATTCGGTTAATTTCTTCAAATACAATTTTGGTATGAAATAATTCTTGAAAATAGTTAATTATTTAAAATATTGAATATAAACTATTATAACAATATTTTGATTGTTTTTTTTTTAGAAAAATCTAGTTTTTTGTAGGAGAAAAAAATTATATACAAAAATGAATTTTCATTCATAAATGAAATGGAGAAGAAATGTCTATTGATAGTTCTGATGAGAGCAAAAGAAAGCGATTATGAGTCTGACTCGACGACAGACCCCAGTTAGAAATGAAAACATTGTTATTCAAATATTTTATTTTGCTACATTTCATAATTTGTAAATATTGATGAATTATCATTTTACGTATAATTCATTAGGTTATGAAAAAAGATTAAAATCGAGTAGTATTAGTCCAAATGATTTTATAATAGTTAAAATTTTTATAATTAATATTTGATTATTTAATTTCATATAATTAAATATTTAGTATTTAAATATTTAATTAGCTGACCATATAATGGGAGAAATATGGCCAGTTAATCAATTAATTTATGAGAGACTGATAGTCCATGCGCGCTTAATACCTATGGCCCTCCAGCTGACGGTCTTATCCCAGCTAGAATTTTAAAATGTAATGCATTTGTTTTTCTTTTTTTTTTAATATTTTGAATGTTGCCATTAACAAAACTATATTCAAACAATCAGTTCATACCAAAATTATTATAAAAAAATCTAATATGCTAAAAAAGTGTAACTCTATTAGCGCCTGGACTATTATCCTTATTACGTTGAATCAGGCTAGGAAAATTGGGTCCAAAAAAGACCGAACTCTTCAAATTTTTTTTTACAAAGCTGGAACTTTTTATAATCCACTTTAGACATTCCAAATAAGGACGACATGAGTTTGCAGCAGTTTTTGAGTACTACTAAACTATTTAGTGCTAAAAAAAATTATGACGGTCTTTTCAGTTTTATGTTGGTGGCACTTCTCTTGTATATAAGTCCTCTATTTATATCTTAGAGTAGATAAATAAAAGGACTAATAAATAAGGAGGAAAAGGCAAGAAAACATTGGCAAATCACCAGATTCCTCGAAGATAAAGTAGTTCTTAACATACTAACACAACTAAAACGAGAAATAATTAATATTAAAAATGAATCAATAGACACATATCTTAGAAAATTAACGAACCACAAAAATACTGATTACTCTCTGTGGAAAGCGACTAGGAAACACAAACGTCCAATAGTTCACATGCCACCAATAAGAGAAGCAAAGAAAAACTGGGCAAGATCAGATAAACAGAAAACTGACTGCTTTGCAGATAATCACGAAAAAAAAATCAGCCAAAAAGAACAAGGACTATATTTATTAAAAGAAGATAACGAAACATAGTGGAAATGCATAGGGTAACACGCAAAAAAGGAGCTAAAGAAATCAAAGAAAATTTGAATTGCAAGAAAGCACCCAGTTATAATCTGATCACTGGTGAAATACCAAAACAATTGCCAAGAAAAGCTGTAGTTAAACTCACTAATATAATAAACGCTGCATTTCGACTACAGCATGTACCTAGCATCTGAAAAGTCACTGAAATTATTAACTTCCGGTCTACTATGCCAGCTTACACATTAAGAGAAAACCTTTCCTGAAAATTTCGAGGCTTAGTGCATGATGATTTTCATCCGACCAGACGTAGGTTTTGTGCTTATTAATACACCTTCTCTGGTAAATCCTGCTTCACCTGTGCTTAATACGAAACGTAAAAAGTTAGGGTTTTGCCTTATTCTTTCTACGAACCAGTCGCAAAAATTTTTGTCTGCGTTGATAGTCTTGAGGCTGCAAACAATGATTTTTTTGTACGTGATAGAGATGTAACTGTTGTTCTTTTAAAATTCTCCATACCGTTGTTTTAGATACATTATAATGTAAGGCCAATCCACGTGTGCTTGTCCCTGGATTAATGGCAACATTTTCCAAAATTGCATTTTCTACGTTTGCAACACGAATAAGCCTCAGTTCTGAACTGCTCCTTAAAATGATCCGTAATCCCGAAGGCCTTGAATAACACGAAGAAATGTGTATCTATTTGGCTTGGCTCGATTTGGAAAACGTTCTGTATAAATCCTACGTGCAAGCACAGAATTTCCACGGGCTTCACAAGAAACTAATACCATGTCAGTATATTCACAATTGGTAAAAATCGGCACTTTAAAAAGCACAATAAATTGAACTGCAAGCTATTAATCGACACGCACACAACTAAAATTAAAAATAATCGTCGGGCGTGTCAGTCATTTGACCTGTAGCAAAAAAATGTATAACATTGTGAATCATGTATTAAAAACTTTGTTAGATTTTATTTTAATTATTTGACAAAAGTTGTTCGTTTTGATGCGCTAAATAGGTGGTTAAAATTATGGCACTTTTTTCTGAAAAATAATAAAACCTTTTTCCGATCATTCTCATATTTGCGCATAGTGAAATTTTGTCAAAAGAAGTTAAAACCTTCATTGTAATCTGGGTCTCTATGCTATACTAAAAATTTTTCCTAATTTTGCCTCATTTTTCAAAAATTCCAACGCTTCTTTTGACATAGGAAAACATCGTGAACTTGTACACGAGCAACCTTTAAATGAAATACGGTTGAAACTATTTCAGAGGGGCTTGTCAAAAAAACAACTTTAATTTGGCATGCTTACCAACACTGAGGGTATATTTACAGGTTCATGTATGAAGGGGTAATGAACTAAACCCGCTACGATGGGGATGGAAGACTATCAACAACGGTTTGATTCTTATTCCAACTGTTTAACCATCGATGCCCCAGAAACTGTTTCTACAGAAAAGCCTCGACTGCCTCACCGAAGAAGACATTCGCATCGATTCAACCGAATTTTACACTAAAATGGACATCATCGAAGAAAATAATGACCTTTATATCTTGCCAGAAGATGATAATAACTAATAACCTTAAAGAATAATTGAGTATTTCCTTTTAAGAACCATCATCTTCAAAACGCCGACGAAGATCCAAAAATTAAATACATTGATTTCAATACATTAAATTGCAAACGGCAATAAATCTGAATTAGTAGGTAATACTTGATTGGTGGAAAGTTTCATTCAGAGTAGTCCCTTTTAATATACAAACGTTACAACATTAACGTAACCCACTTTTCAGGCATGCTGTATTGAGAAACGGTTTTTTAGTTGCTTTAAGATTAAATAATCGAGGTCTAACATAAGAAAGACCAAGAACGTAGAGGGTTAAGAAAAATATGGAAGCTGGAGATAACTTTTTTGTAATGTTTTTTAAAAAAAAAGCATATGATAAGTAATCAAATAGTTATAATTGTACAAGAATAACAGTACCCTTAAAATGTTGATGATAATGCCGATTTCTGATGATCGACTAAACGACTGAACCGATGTTGATCGAACATACGTCATTCGACTCGAAATTAAATGCTCTTTAATTTTAGACGAGTTAAATTTTCTGTAATATGCGTCGTTTCTAAATTTTGGGCCAAAATTTCCTGTTAGCACAGCTCAAAATCCATTGTACCACATATTTGGAATGTCTAACGTGGATTTGAAAAATAAAAATCTAGCTATGTCCGAATTTTTGGGCAGCATAAGTCAATTTGAATACCATATACAAACAATATTTTTGTTTATTTTTTTACCTGCGAAAAATTTTACTAAAATGTTAAAACATTTAAAAAAAATCTTATTTTTGTAGAAAAAAGTATAAGAAAAAAAATGTGGGTAATTTAATGTCCATAAAAAAAAGATTATAATGGTTTTTAAGACAATAAATAAAAATATGCGAATTAAATTCAAAAAATAAGAAAAATCGTTATTAATTTTACAACGAAAAGTCTTTTTTGGAGGACATAAAATTATTATATAAAAAATTTAGATAAAATGTAAATAAAATATTAAAACATGAGATAAGTTCCATTAGTTGTTATTTTACACAAAATATTTAAAAAAGAAAGTTGTTTGCAATATAAAATAAAGCCTGAACACAAATTTTCAAATTAAAATTCAAGTTACTGTATTAAGAGAAGGAAAAATAAGAAAATTGATTGGACTAATAAATGTACACATTTGATTATAGACCAGTAAAAATCGGTTAAAAAAAGTTAAAAGTATTATAAGCCAAGTAATCATACCGAACTTTCTTACGATCATATTGTATCAAAATTACTTCAATAAAATAGACTTTGGTAAGTTTAAAATTAAAAAAAAGTTATGGTTAATCGAACAAAATTAGTACAATCTTTTTAAAGGAATGAAATTTAAAAAATATTAAATATTTAACTATATACTTACCTAATTTTACACCTCTTCGAAAAAGAGAGAGAACATTTCGATTTCCTAGAATATAAAGCGTGATATCTATAGGTTGGTCAGTTTTTCTTTGTAATAAAAATAATCTAATTATATCGAAACAATAAAAATTTCATAATCGCTTATATTCTAGAAATTCCAATAGTTTATTTAATATTAATTATCTAAATTTGAGCTTCTTTTTAAAATAATATCTATCCAGTGCTGCTGCTATTACAACAATGGTCATCGATTTTCACCTCTAATAAATAAATCACTATCTTTATTTGATAGTAAATTCATTATTTATTTAATAGAGGTTTTTCTAGAAATATACCTAGTGATCAATAAATAATATAAAAACAAATTAAGAGCAAAGAACGAAGACAATTTGTTAACAAATTTTCATCATTTTTTGGGCTCGGCTTTTTTCGCTTCTTCTTTAGTTTCCGTCGATTTAATTTCTTTGCTTTCCACGGGTTTACTTTCCACGGGTTTGCTTTCCACAGGTGCGCTTTCAACTTTAGTCTTCACTGACGTCACCGCGGGATCCACGATGATTTTCGGAGGTATTTGAGGATTATCCACCAAAGTTACGGTGACCGGAGTTGCGCTTGACATCCCAGCAATATCAGTAACCATGGTTTGCGTAACGGGTTTCGGAGGTAGCTTCAGTTTCAGCGGGTTCCTTAATTTTTTAAGCGTATACTCTATTCGAGCGGCTTCTTGCTTAAGCATGTTGTACTGGTTGATGTCTAAGCCTAATTTTTTGGATTTTTTGTGCAAAACCAGCAGCTGTTGTCTTTTCGTAACGTCTTGAAGAATGTATTCCTAAAAGATACACAATACCGTATAATTCTTAGGATTTACCGAAAAAGCGAGTAATTTGGCAACCATGTTACGTTATTATTCTAAGAAAATATCCGCGAAATAAGTCATATGAAAAACCTATATAATACATTATTTTTTAATTTGATATTTATACATTAAGTACTCGTTAAAAGTTCAGATAAACAAGTAGCACTGTTGCCAAATTGCGTAAATATTCTCAAAAACTGGGTACTAATAGTAAAAATCATAAATTTACCTCTTTCGTAAGTACGAAATAGGAGTAGCACGCCATTGCAGTGCCGTAGGTGACGAAGTATGTTACGGGTTCCATGATATCCCATGAGTATTCCCACCATGTGAGCCTCGCCAAAATTCCAAATTGGACAGACATTAGACCTAATCCGGCCCACGCTAGCCAGTTTCCTCTTCGGTGGGCTACTAGCTCAATTTCTTGCTTTCTCTGAGAATAAATGTAATAAAGGTTATAGAACTATATCAATTATTATTACATATTAAAATTATGTTACAAGAGGGGTAATATTGTAATAATAAATTACCTCTTCTAAAGGCAACAACTCTTGCTTGATTGTCTCCAATTGGGTGGTCAGTTCTTTTTCTTTGGAAAGTTGGTGTTCTTGTACATTCATCGCCTCGTATAGTTGAGATACCATGGTTTTCACGTCATTTAGTCTGGAAAAAAAAATGCTGTAAATTTTTAGTCCACATAAAAAAGAGAAGACGAAAAAGAAATATTGCACGGTAATGAGTGGAAACTGTTTTGTCTGGCCTTGCAGACATCCTGGACTCGGCTACAGCTCATTCTTTAAACTAGGCGAATCATTCAAAACCACTACCCACATAACATCAATGTTCTATGAATATGCTACTTTGAAAGTATATTCCAAAAAGTATTTTCTGACTATGTGTCTTAAAAGTATACTCTAAATATTATATACTAAGCACGCATTATAACAGAACATTCTTAGAAGATACTAAAGGTCATATACCCAGCATGTACCTCATATTCTAAGAATGTTTTAAATGTTTACAGGTAAAAATTAACACCAAACACATGTAAAAACACGTTTATATACATATCTATATGAATTTTTCCCAGATGCCGATCTAATAATTCGCTAGCAAATGCGCACTAATGCTCAGTGTTCGGGCCAAAAAACATTTAGAACCTTAATAGAAGAATAACATAACCTACAACATTTTTTATCACGTTTCAGTTTGTAACAAGTAAATAAATTAATAAAAATCAATTGCATCGTGTATTCTATATAAAAATAAACAAATTTTACTATATTTGTAATTTTTAGGACCTATAAGTGATGTTAGAACGCAGGATATCCCAAATATTAATTGCCAACACTCAAAATTATATCTCCGAGAGTGTTTTAATCTAACAGGTTAAAACGACTAAAAGGTGAGTTCGGGCTACGCACTCTTTTCACTATATTCACTCCTAAAGTATCTAATGCGTTCGGGAACGGAAGGAGTTAAAATAAAAGTTCCTTTTTGACCGTTCGAAGATCGTGGAGTGGAGTGTGGATCGGGCATGCGCATAAAGTGATTTAAATCGATAATAAGATAATTGTGACTAATTCTTAAGTAAAAAATGCTTTTTATTTGGTTCCCGTGTATACCATTAATATGGAAGAAACATATACGGTTGTTACTGATAAGTACTATTAGGTTTTAAGTATTAGTATGTCACATTGACAACTGACATTGAACTCTGAGAGTAAAGGAGTAAAACCCAATGAACTGGAGTGGGGTAGAAAGCCAATGTGCATATTGTATCAATAGAACAAGATGCGACTCTATGGGCGCAGCCATTTTTATTTCTCATCTCACTCGAGAGTATTTATAATAACCATTTTCTGTTTCACATTGTTATTGTTCAATCCACAAGCTGGTGGATCAGACAATAACAAAGTGAAATAGAAAATGGTTGTTATAAATACTCCCGAGTGAGATGAAAAATAACCTGTCTTCGCCCATAGAGTCGCATCTCAAGCCTATTGACAAGCATTCTACCCTACTCCAGTTCATTGGTAAAACCATATGCGCACTCCGTTTACGCCTACTTACTCCACCCCACTCTGGAGTGCGCAGCCCGAACTCACCTAAAACCGACAATTCCGGAAGCAGAAGCGTATGATTAAAACGCACCTGATATTTTGCTTGCTGCTGTCAGCGTCAGTGAATATTATTTTTGGAGTCACAGTTTATTGCTAAAGAATCAGTTAGCTCACTCGGACCAATTAAAAGTTCCAAAATAACATCCACTCCAGGGATACAAATTCAGGATACGCAGAAGACTGCTGTTAGGCGGTTGTCATATATTGTATTATTCGAGTTGCGCAGTGTATAAACTGGAACATTGAGATCAAAAGTGACGACGCAGAGTGAGCGATCTGATTCTTTAGCTATAAACTGTGGCATAGGAAAAATGGCCGCGCCCTATGTTGGGCGTGTCGGACCTCTCTCTTGCACCGTATAGTAATCAAAGTATGTGCAATCTGAAAACACCGAACTTGACAGGCCAATCAGGATTAACGCCCGTATGCACCGTACACGTTTAATCCAGATCAAGGGCTTAATCGCGTTTAGTACCATAGCTAAAAATGGTACTAAACGCGATTAAACCCTTGATCTGGATTAAACGTGTACGGTGCATACGGGCGTTAGAGTCTCAGAGTAAGTAAGTAGTAAAGAGAGGACATTAAACAATGTTTGTGTCGCCATAATATGGTCGAGAATTCTAATTAGAGAGAAATAGATTAATATCTCCATATCTTTGTTTGTACTTGTCAGTTTGACAAAGCTTTTCTCAGACAATTATTCCAGTGTTTAATTTAAATTTGTTCGTGTTGTGGTGTTAAAAGTAATTGTTATTAATATTATATTCATAACAAAAAAGTCATATTTTGTTTTCACTTCATTAAAAATGCACCTACCTACCTTTTAAAACATTTTATTTTATATTCTACTTGGTCAACATTTTCGCATTTAAAATGACCCAGCGAAATTGTTTTACGGTACGCTACTGCTGAGAATTCTAAAACGAGTGAGAAAGCCTTCTTTAGAAAGAGAGATACTGATTATATGATAGCGACATTAATATTGTATAACTTTATGCAGTGGTGGCCTATCTGCTATTATATTATCTAAGGTTAGAGTCAAGTTTGGTGTTATCGATAATCCGAACTTGACTAGAACTCCTGATTGGTTCATTTGATAAGTGCGTGAAATAGTCTGGGTAATTCACTGGTCTTTATTCATTCTTAATAAAGTTTCTGTGGTTGATTCTGTTGATTCCTTTTTCATGTTTAAATTAAGCAATATAATTATTTCGTTTATTTAACCAAGCAATTGTTTGCGGGCCACACTTTGGGAACTCCTGCTTTAAGAGGACTCATATCAAAATATTTGCTTCCTTTACCACTTATGTCTGTCTACGGTAAAAATGACAGTGCCGCTGTGCATAAAATAGCCTCTTATAAGAACCTTATTTAAAAACAGTGATATTCAAAGCACTAAAGATAAATCGAAAATTCTGAAAATGAACAGGGTGATTAAAAGAAAATGTCGCGAAATTCAAACCTTGTGCTCACTTCAAAACACCCTTTTTATACAAATGACCCTTCGACGTAAAAACAAGCCCTATCTTGTTATTTAAAATCGTAAAACTTTCGACGTCAGGCTATATGGCGATTTTTATCTGATCATTGAGCGTATGATGTTACAGGAATCGCTGTCCTCTCTCTCTATTAACGATACTGCACGTTTATTGCCCCGCCTGACATTTAAGTGCTGTAATTTAACACCGGCATAAGCACTGCATCTATTTAATGGAACCCCAGCCGGGACTACATCATCCTTTGATAGGACAGCCAGAATTACGCCATGGAAATTTGTGTCTGAATAATAATCACAAATCACAGATCGAATATGGCGTGTAAATTTTGTGGTTTGCGGGGCTGTAGGTAATTTGTACAATTTAAATAGATTCAAGTTAAAAATTTCATAGAATTTCTAAATATTCTTTAGGAATCCACAGTAATTATCTCTCGTGCATTAAATAACATTTATGAAATAGATTATTTGTGAAACTCAATCCCTAGAAGTTTCTGTGTCTTTGGGTGTACCTCAAGAAACTAAACTCGGTCCTACACTGTTTTCACTTTTTACAAATAAATTTAACACCGATTGTATAAATACTTCTATTACTAACGTTTTAACCATTTCTAATTACAATATTATTTACTCCCCATTATTTTTTGTCCCTTTTTTTACGTTTTAGTAAACGATGTATTACATTGCTGGACAATAATGGCGTTTTGCTGGACAAAATATTTTTTAATTGAACACCGTTATTTAAAACTGCCTAGAAATGTTGAAGGTAATATTTTGACGTACTCCTTTAAGGATAAAAGAGTGTTTTCTTTTTTTTTTTTCAAATTTCCCGCAGATCGGCAACACTGCACATGTCCCCTATTTTTATTACTATTAAAAAAAACGTAGGGCAATCAAATACATTAATTTTCTGAAATATTTGATTGAAAATGCCTACAAAAGAATGATGGTGAATAATTTTTTAACCAAACACAATTTTATAAATAACTAAGTCAAAATTAGACAAAATCTTGAATAAGGCATTTCGTAACTGGTTACATAAATAGCTATTAAGCCACTCACCTCAATTTCAAAAAGCACTAATTATAACTTTTATTTAAAGAAGTTTTTAGTTTATTAAAAATAAGTAAACAAACTTTTTTCGTTTATTTAAAATCTTAAAATGCCAGGATATAGACTACCAGTTCAACATTTTGGGTAAATATGTGTTGCCTAACCTAGTAGTATTTAATTCAAAATGGCAGCACCCTATCTTGGACGTATCGGACGTCTCTCTTGCACTGTATAGTAATCAAAGTATGTGGTTATCATTCCATAACCCAGAGATTTATCTCTGCCATAACCTACACAGAACACACGAGGCTAATGGCATAAGTTGCCTAAGCCGAAGACAACAACAATAAAAAAAAATATGAAATAACTTAGAAAAAAGATTTTAATCAGTTTTCATCTTAAATTTGAACCACGGACCTTCCGCATGCGAACTCTAACGATACAAACAATATTCAATACTGATAATTTGATTGGTTTTATATGGTTTTATTCAAATTTACGATGTATTTGTAAGCATAGACGAATATCTTGCATGATACTATTACTCAATATCTTGTAGAATGCTGTTATTTATCGATATTATTTATCAATTTGCGATTATTTATAGATACACATAATGGCCCAATTTTTCATTCTGTAGTCTGTGCATAGAATACATAAAATCCATGAGGATGTAGAAAAAATATTTATCACCCTGGAAAACACGCTTCCTACTGGCATAGCCTTGAGATGCTGCAAAATTCCATTTTTGGCACAATGTCTAGGTCATAAACCGGAAAATGGAGCCCCAGTGACCTATAAAGAAAGAGTCGAGGCTCGAAAATTAGGACAGGGGTTCGGATAACAATGCATTTCGGAATGTACGCTAAACTAGATTAATTTCGAAATAATTTTTGGAGCATTTCAAGCAGAATTTAATATATTATGCTATCTTTTATGAGATTTTACACAATGCGGGAACAATTTTATTTACTAGGGCCATGTCGAAA